TCAAAGCGTAGAGGGTGCGATCATGAGCCTTTACATATTTTTTTCACATTTTTCACACTTGTAAATTAATTATTATAAATTTTTTTAAGGAACTATTATTAGCACTCATAAATCTCATTCTACACTTCTCACAAAATGTATTTTTCTTTTTAATTATAGAAAGTTTGGAGTGCCAAATGAGATTTTTGGAATGTTAATAACAGTTCCCTTCTTTTTTAATGTGTTTGGTATTTTTAAATTACTTGATACTTTTATTTTTAATGTCTTATATAATTTTTTAATCTCACTGTTTGCCTATAGTATACTATAAAAATAAATAAATAAATAAAACTCAAAAATTTTAAATTTATATAGAACAAAAATACAATAATATATATTACTATGACTATTATATTTTATAGTAAGCTTTTTTTAGTAGTTTAGAAAATTAAAATCATCAAAATAATTTTTTTCTTAACGTGTCAAAACATGTTAATTACCCGCGTGTCACCTTTATGTAAACCTGTAAAGGACTTGTTATTAACGGATTCTTATCATGTGATCCGATAACGACTCAATTAGTTTTTGTGTTAACCCGAAACCCATTATTTTCGTGTCGTTTACTTGTTGTGTTAACGAATCGTGTAAGAAATTGCCAGGTTTACTTTTGACGCAACGCAAGAACAAAATCAAATTAGAAAAAAATCAGAAAACACCAACGTTGGTGCACTCCCTTCGACATTTGGCGCACCATTTTGTTACTAAGAAATACTTTCCCTTGTGTTGTTTTCCTCTTCCTCTCTCTCATTTAAAGTTACAAGCACCATATATTAGAACACTTTTAACGTTTAATTTTTACCCAAATTGGTTTTATGAGGGCTTTCATCTCTTTGCTATTATTTTGTGACTCACCAAATACACAAGATGAAACCACTTCTTCTTAACTGAGGAGTTCCGATGGTTTTTATTGAATTTTCTTGATTTTCTTTGGCTTTCGGGTAGAGGGAGAAAGGGACGGAGAGGGCAAGAGAAGGATAGAGAGTAAGGAAGGAAGGGGTATGCCGGTGGAGAAAAAGTTCGCCTCCATTAGGTGTGAGACAAGGGCTTCGTTTTCTATTTCATCATGGGCCTCCAACAAGGCAGGGCCAATCCTGATTGAGATGATTTGTGGATTAAAGTTTCGGCTCATCATATCTAGCCATACAAGCTTATTCTTTTCGGTAATTTGCTTGAGTTTACAAACTAATTTCAATATTAAGATTAGGTCAATTGTGTTTATTGACTTTGTTTTTTTCTTTTTCTGTAAGAAGATAAATTTGATTGAATAAACTCATAAACGAGTCATTACACTGATGCCAACAGCTAGAAAGTTAAACAACCATAGTGGCTCAAAGAGATCCCAATAAAACTCAAAGGCCCCCCACTGTATGGCATGCCTTTGTTACACTGTCTAGGCACAAACTGAAAACAAAAAGAAAGAACAAAATTGTAGCAATGGTCCTTCAATTTTAATCCAATTGGAGCAATGGTCCCTAAACTAAAATTTCACGACCATTGGTCCCTTAACTCATCAAAATGTCCAGCTATAGCCCTTTTCATCAACTCCGTCAAAATGAGTCATGTTTGCAGGACCATTACTACAATTGGGTTAAAGTTGAGGGATCATTGCTCCAATTGCATTGAAGTTGAGGGACCATTTCTCCAATTTGATTAAAGTTAAGGGACCATTGCTACAATTTTTCTCCTTTGGGTTTTCCATATTTGCCCCTTGATTCAGCCTTATGTGTGTGGCACATGACTCATTGTGACGAAAATTCTAACGGAGTAGACGAAAAGATTCATAGCAGAACGTTTTGATGAGTGAAGAAACTAATGGTCATGGATTTTTAGTTGAGAGACCATTATTTCTCAATTTCCTCGAAATAATATGATAATGAGAAACCAAAACATGAAGTTGAAGAAGAAAATAGTTCATATTAACATATGCCAAAATATGAAATTATTTATTAACTTAAATAAAAATTCCTTATCTTTTATTTGCAAGTGTTAGGAACTTACGCATTTACATATAAGAGATGAAAGATTAAATACTTTTAAAACTAATCATCTATACTATTATTAATAAAACTCTCCTTGTCAACCTTTTGAGAAAATGACAATCATATTCCTATTTTTTCTATTTTATACTCACTTTTGATACATAATGTTTACATAGTAATGAGGACAAAACAGTAATTATGTACATTTTGAGAAAATGACAATCATGGTAAACTCTTATTTTTCTTGTTTTACCCTCGCTTTTGATACATAATGTTTACATAGTAAGGAGGACAAAACAGTAATTATGTACCTTTTGAGAAAATGACAATCATATCCCTATTTTTCCTATTTTACCCAATAATAAGAAAAAATATGTCCTTATTAAAAGAAACTGTCCCATCATTATTGTTCCATAATTTTTTTTTTTTATTTTAAAAACTAATCAATCACACTCTTTAATAATAAAAAATAAAATATAAAATGAAATTATTCACACACACAATGTGTGCTCATCTTCTAGTTTTTATAAACATAAGAAAAATTGGAGAGGCCTACGTTTTCTTCCCTTTGGGATCATATAATAGTAAACCAATATTCCAATTTTTCAAAGGCGTACGTACAAAAGCTGAAATGATTAGATGTGTGTCCAGCTGTGAGGAGAAGACAAATATCCGATATTGCTCGCAAGAATCCATTCACCTTCAAAAAACCACTTTTGGTTGATTTGCCATGTGAGCGGAAAAGATGGTTGTTCCTTCTCCTAATTGATACAAGGTTGGGATGCAAAATGGGATGTAAATTATAGATTTTAGGGTGCTTGGTCAGTTTGTTAGGCTGCTAAAGTTTTAAACATCTATAATTTACATCTCATTTTATATTTTCTTAAACTTGAAAGTTCTACAAATGGGGATAAGAATAATTGGGCAGTGTTACTTAAACGTTGCGATGGTGGTGATAACAAACCAAGTTCGGTGGTGTTCTTGCCAAACTTGAGCTGTTACATGGTGTAATCCACCCATTAACAAGCTAAGAACATGCCTTTGGAAGCATGTCTACATATAGAGCCGGTCCTGAGGGTGTGCAACAGGTGCCACCGCACAGGACCCCCGATTCAGAAGGACCCCCAAAATTTCATTACATGTATACAGATGCATATAAAATAGAGTAGATGCAAAAGACAATGTTATATGTGGTTCTAGTGCTAGCGGTTTACCTTTTTTTTCCTTATATCCATTGTGTTGGGTTCGAATCCATGTGATATTGTTTTGCTATTTTAAGTTTTTGCAAATTCGTAAACTTAAAAAAGAGATAACAAAAACACATCCAACGTGTATCGAACTCAGGACCTTTGAAGGTAAGGAAAAACACCTGGGCGATCAAACAACTTATTTTTGTTATAGTAACTTGTAATATTTTAGTTTTATAGATGAAAAAATTGAAAAAAAAATAATACTAAAAAAATATAACATTAAAAAAAATAAAGGGTCTCCATCTAAGTTTTGCACAGGACCCCTAAATACTCAAGGCCTGCCCTGTCTACATACAATCTTAATTCAATTGTGATTCTCGACGAAAATTACATGGAAAATTATTTTTTCTTATCCTTGTAAAACTGAATTTCCTTTTGAGTGAAATCCCAACTAGGTGAAATCCGAATACGATCAAGATTTTCAGCGAACCATGAATCTCTCCCAGTCTTCTTTTCCAAATGAGAATCTAAGACAAAATGCTATGGACGACCAACAATATCCTTTCGCCCACACCCAATCCGAATGATTAAGTACTTTATAGAATGCTCTATCCAACTTTCACTGAATCAAAACCTTTGAACGAATTTGCTCGACCGAGCTTTATAAAACCATTGAACGAACATTCTCGACTTAGACTTTATAAAAACTCTGAGCCAAAACCTCCGAACAAATATTCTTGGCCACAACATTCTCGTTCGAAACATTCTCAACCATATAGATGGAATAGTCATAATTTGCGGCCACATGATTAAATCATAAAATTATCCAAAAATGATTGAATGTTATAATAATTAGTAATCTTTCTATCTAACCACCTAAATTATACGGGTAGTTGCTGTGAAATAGGTTCCAAATAATATTGTAACAAAACCAAATCAATTGAATAAGTATGCCTATATATATTAACAGTATATAGATATTTATACAATTGGAATTTATAGGATTTCACTTATCCACCCGTGTAAGCAAGGTGTTTGGTAAACAAATAGAGAAGGGAAAAAAGAGGGACAACTATTGAAAGAGTATATCTATGTTCAATTTTTTTTTTTTAATACATTGATATTTTTACATTTAGGGAATGAGGAGTTTGGCTAAGCCACATAATGGGTAGCCTAATTTAGTGTCAAATTCGTCATTCACAAGATTCGAATCTAAGATCTCTCACTATCAAGTGAAGAGAAATATTATCAGACCGTAGTACTGTGACAGTATTATTAAGACAATTAAACATTAAGTAGGGTTTGAAACTTTAAGTGAAATTGGAAGACCTAGTTTGGCGCTCGAACACACTGCTCTCAGGCTTTCAGCACTAAGCTATGTAGGTGGTGTAGAAGACCAATTAACTAGCAAGAAGTTAGAACCCTAGAAGGGTAGAACCGTAGAAGATGGATATGGAATGGCCAGTCAAAACTCAAAACCACACACGGATGGCACTGTTTGCAACTGCATGGTACAGTAGAGGATTATCATGCACTCGTGGAATGCCTTTCCATCTGTCATTACGTACTCTCCTTTTTTAGCTTTCTCTCTCACATGAACAGAGACAGTGATGCAAGAGTGACGAAAGTTGCGTTAGACTCGGATCCTGTCTCCAATGGAAAAAGCTCAAATTCTGCACTGCACTCACAAATTTTGGTCCTCTCTCTCTCTCCCCTCTATTTTAAAAGCAAAAGCACTTTCTCCAATAACTGCGAGTACTGCTGATTACTGCTAGTGCTAGCTAAATCTCTCTCTCTCTCCTCCCCCCCCCCCCCCCTTCACTCACTCTCTCTCTCTCTCTCTCTCTCTCTCTCTCTAGGGATATGGATGACTATGGACCTCCAGATCTGCGGCAGCTGATGGCCTCAAGAACCCAGTTTCATACTCCCTTACAATTCGCAGAGCAATTTTCAGTGCACCAAAATCTCACGCCACCACCGCCACATCCGCCCCATTATCGTCATCTCCCCATAATGCTAAGCAGTGAGGTTGTTCCAGCTGCTGGCTTGCTTGACAATCATAGTTATACTAGTATGATCACGACAACAGCTTGTCATCCTACCACTTCATCAGCTGCTTCTGCTGCTGCTGCATTGTATGGGATAGAGTTTGAGCATGGATGGAATAATATTGATGGAGCAAATACTAATAATAATAGTAGATGGCCAAGGCAAGAAACCCTTACCCTTCTTGAGATTAGATCTGCTCTTGATTCCAAGTTCAAGGAGACTAATCAGAAAGGACCTTTGTGGGATGAAGTCTCTAGGTATACCCTATTGCTTCTCTTCTTAATTTTTATATACTATTTTCTTTCTAATTTCTTTTCATCAAAACAAAATATGTAGAGAGTGAGGTCACTACAACCGAGTACTTTCTTCTTTCTAATTTCTTGTAATATTTCTCTTTTTTTTCCTCATTTTTTTCTTTAATTAAGATGGATGTTCATCTTTTACCTCAGCATAAGCAAAAGGGAAAGAAAAAGTGTTGAGCTTCTTTCTACTTATATTGTTTCATATATTAATGTTAATTTCTTAAATACTTTCAGGCTTTTTGATGAATTCATTTTTTATCCTTAGTTAATTTAGTGCATGAAAATGACAAAACATATGAGTTAACTAGAGATCGACCCAGGACTTCTTTTTTTCGTATTTTTTTTCTGGTTTTGGTATGCAAATTGACTGGACCAAGAGTACTCTCTGCAACATCTTAAATATTTGTTTTCTAGTTGAGAGACCTGCTTCTTGTTCAATTAGGGCAATGAAATCTGCTCACACCTAAAAAGGGCCATACATTCCATATGACATCGATGTAAGGGGGAATACTTTGATTAATTTAAACATAAAGTAAGTGAAATTCTAAAACTGGAAATTCTAGCTTAATATACTAATCTCGAAAAACTTATGGTCTGTATAAAGGACTGAATGGTGTGGCTATCTTGATTCTATAACAATATTAACAATTTCTACACGATCATATCTTAATTTAATATTTTGAGATTATGAGAATCTAAGCATATGTATATGTCTTCTACAATTTTAATAAAATCTGTTCCTTTTCCATTTTCTTGATGTATAGGATAATGGCTGAGGAACATGGATTCCAGAGAACAGGGAAGAAATGCAAAGAAAAGTTTGAGAACTTGTATAAGTACTACAAGAAAACCAAGGAAGGCAAAACTGGGAGGCAAGATGGGAAGCACTATAGGTTCTTTCGTCAGCTTGAAGCAATTTATGGAAATCACCATCAAAGTACCAATCAGTCCTCCGTTTACAGTAGACCAAACCCTCTTCTTTGTCACACTACTCCGAGTAACAGTATTAACCGAGATCAAAATCAAGAAGTGGTTGTGCAAGACCAAAAGTTCATAAGCTGCGAGAGCCTTAGTTTCTCCAATAACTCAACTGAATTTGATCAAACCTCACCCTCAAAGAACAACGACGACGAGGATTCACTTTCAGCCATTGATTATTTTCCGATGAATCAGTCAACGGGGAGCCTTAAGAATGAGAAGAAAAGCTATGCGACACCGGTAAAGAAGAAATGGAAAGCAAAGGTGGTGGACTTTATGAACTCACAAATGGGGAAAGTAATAAAGACCCAGGAGGCATTGATGGAGAAGATGGTAAGGAGTATTGAAGCTAGTGCAGACGAGAGAATAGCTAAGGAAGAAGAATGGAGGAAGCAAGAGGCGGCCAAGTATGAGCGAGATGTACATGAGTTTTGGGCTAAAGAAAGGGCATGGGTTGAAACTCGAGACGCCGCGATAATGGAGACTCTAAGAAAATATACAGGCAAAGGAACTTACAACAACAGTGGCAAGGATGATATTGCAAAAGAAATTGGCAGTGATCACAGTAAGAATTATCCTAGATGGACTGAACACGAAGTTACAAGTTTAATACAGCTGAAGACTAGCTTGGAACGAACATTCAAAGAAAGTGAGTATCTGAAGGAGGAGGGAGTATGGGAGGAGATAGCTGCAAATATGGGTAGTTTGGGCTACACAAGGAGTGGAGGAGAGTGTAAAGAGAAATGGGAGAATGAAAGTGTTTGTTTTAAAATGACAACAGAAAGTAACAAGATGCACAAACAAGATACAAAGACTAATAACACGTACTTTAGTCAGATCTCTGGTTATGAAGAAGGCCATGAAGTTCGGAATCAAAGACAGGATGGGATGGGACTTCAATTAATGGATGAAGGGCTTTCTCCGTCATGTTCTAATATGGATGTGAACTCCAGCTCTTTGCACATTCCATTTAATGGAGGAGAAAACTTGTGGGACGAGAGGGACTCCTATGTAACCAATTCACTACGTAACAAGCGTTTATTGCACTGGTGATGCAATTTTTTTTTTAACATTTGACACACATCTTTAGACTGGTGAAGCCACTAGAGTCTAGAACCATGTTTTGTTTGTAAGAGAGATCTCTATCTTGTGCGATAGGAATGGAACTGTTCATCAGCAAGGGAAAGCACCAGTACTAAGTTAGAACAAGGTGATTAAGTAATTAGAGAGACTATTTGAGTTCTCTTTATGAGTGTAAGTATGTGACTTAATTCTTATGGCAGATTTTTGCCAATGTGTGTTTGTTTCTGGAGAAGGTGCTTTTCTAATTTGTCCAGGTAAGAAAGCATTGACTGGGGGACTTTTACGAAAAGGTAAGTGTTAAGGATTATTTCCTCATGGTCTTTGTTGATTAATTTGCTTTCTGAATGGATTTGTTCCTAATCAAGTAAGTAAGGTTCCTTAACAAAAAAAAAGTAGCACTGATTCCATATCATGTTATATATCATGATTAATTACAGCTGGGGAGGAGAATGAGATGTACACAAGCAGCTGTCGATCAAGATTTTCTTTCTGGAAAAATATTTCTCATGGTTCAGACTAGCAGGTTTGTGAACTTTACGTAATTAATACCATGTCTTCCAAATGAAGACTCTGAAGATCCTTTTGTTTTTAGGCTTGTTTGGAAGTGTTTTGACAGTACCAAAAGAGCTTCAACTTTTTGTGCTTTGGACTGCAAAGTTCAAGATAATTAATGTTTTCTGATAGCATTTGTGAGATAATTAAGTATTTTAGAACACCAGGTACATACGTAGTTGCTTACCAGGTACATACGTAGTTGCTTCTTCAAAAGCATTCTAAAATAGAATATGTAAGAGCACTAGGGTTTTAGTTAAAATATTTATATGCTCTCAACATAAAAACCACTGTGTAAGAAGCACATACGTGGGGTTTTAATAAAATTTGAGTTGTTGTTAATAAAAAAACTACTAAGAAGCACTCGAGTTTTTAATGAAATTGATCTTGCGAAGCACTTGGATATTCTTAATGAAGTTTGTCCATAGTTATAAACAAAATCCTACTTATACATGTAAAAGTTTTTTGATATAGAAGTATTCATCATAACTTATTTATGGCACATATATATACTATCAATTTGAAAAAAGTACATACTCGTTATTTGGATTTGTTATTCTTATTGTTTTAGAGTGTGTAATTCTCATTAGGTTCTAAAGTTTTGGCAATAGATTGCTTAATATCGATTACCAATTTACATTATCAATATGTTTGTATTAATAATTGGTTGCTTTTTAGTAATGTCGATCAAATACTTCTCACTCACTGCCTTAATTGCATGCACCTCGATTATTTGGTTTTAACCTAATTATTTCCATCGGAATTTTTATGGTTTCTAGCCAAAAACAAATTGATCAACATCCACAAACCTAGGGCTACCAAAGGTCTTCAATTAAACATCCAATAAGAAACCAGAGTATTTTGTGAACTCTCAAGGAGAAAGTGAGAAAAGAATCGATTAACACATTCTGTAAAATATTATCAACAGAGTTAGAAGTATTCCCATAGTCTGCTTGATTGTGTCTACGGACAGGATGAAATTTTCTATAGTTTTTCTAGACTCGAAAAAAATGGATAACTGTAACTTGTCACCACTTGTGCTCCTTTTTATACTGATAAAAGAAGTATTCTCAAGACCTTAATTAGGTAGTAGACAGAGACACACACTGGTGAGTGGTCATCATATACTGAGTTACGGACAGCAAACGTCATGCATGGTTCATGGCAGTACCCTCATACCATTTATAAATAAAGAAATTTTGTTTATTTTATGGGTAACTGAAGTCATACGTTACCCGGTCAGGGGAACACGAACGGTAAAAATAGTCCTTTCATTTCATGGAGATCAACACGCCCAGGCTGGTCACTTTCAGCTACTAGAACCCTTCTATATCAACAGAAATTTCATGGAAATTTTTACGAAAAACTCTCATTACTGTTTATTTTAACAAAGAATTACATTTTTACACTAAAATGTCAATCCTGGTACTATTCACTTTACCCTTTATTTTGTTCTTATCGTTAAAACTTAAAGTTTTCAAGCCATTTTCATTAGTTTTCCTAAATTTCATTTCTTTTAGGTGCTCTTCCACTCCAATCGATATCCAGAATTCTGTAGAATTTTTCTATTACCATTAGAATACGAGGTAGTAATAAAATAAACATAAGATTATGTGTTTGATTTTGCTTTAAAAGTGAAGATCCAATCTCAATAACAACGAGTTTAATCATTAAGGGACAGTTGATAACCATTTTGTGTTTAGTTTTCATTTTTCATATTCTTTGGGTTTTATGAGCGATAGGAAGAGCTTGTGATTGTGATTTAGAAATTAAAGCTGGTGTTGGTGATTTGAACTGTGTATGCATGTTGAACTTATCCATTGAATTATAAACTGAGGTCACATTCCCGTGTGTCCTTTCATTTGTAAACAATATGTTATTGTTTGTTATTTACACGAGCTTCATAGTTTATCATATGCATTTGATGTAATCCGATAAATTTCTCTAGGATGCAACGGTCATCCTTGCAAATTAAGTTTCAAATTGGTGGCTCGAGGTGAGGAAATGAGAGCACTTTAGCGTTATTGTGGGCAGTGACACTTGAGAGTAGGCCGGGTTTGCTACCCTTTATCATTTATTTTAGATAATTAACGGCCCAATTTGTTTTTGAATCAGTGATTATTGTAAATGTTGTTGACTCTCTGATGTAGGCTTAGTAACAATGGTCTTTAAACTATATACAAGTTTAGTTTTGTCTCCGAACTCTAATAATAGTTGCTTTAGTCATCTAATTATATCATATGTTGCACTTGTGATCTATTTTTCCGTTAAGTTGAGGGGTCAAGTAAGAATTTCAACCAAAAAAATGCATATTTTATTATAAAAAATAAAAAAAAGGATTAGATTAATCAACAATATTTATGTTAATTATGATTAGGTTAATCATGTATTTGTGATCCTTAAATGCATTTTAGATAAGCAAAAATTACAAAATCTGCCACTACTACATGACACCCCCTTTCTCATATTTTTTATTTATTTATATTTTGGAATAGGTCAATACGGTTTCAAACTAATGCAGTATATGTTTCCTTTTTTCTTTTTTTTTTTTTTTTTTTTTTTTTTTTACATTTGGATTCAAACGTTGCGTTGCAATATCTATTTCCTTGTTGTATTTTTTTCCGTACTCACATACCTCCTATGCTTCACACCTCACACGACACGTATTTGGATTCAGACACTGCAATGAAGTGTTCGTTTCTAGGTTCTGTTTTTTTACATTTGGATACAGAGCAATGCAATATCTGTTTCTTGGTTCTGTTTTTTTACATATTTTTACATTTGGATTCAGACATTACAATACAATGTCCATTTCTTAGTTTTTTTTTTCTTTTTTTTTTTTAACATTTGGATTCAGATGTTGTGGTACAAAACGGATGATGGGGAATTATTGCTCAAAATGGTGAGATTAGAAGCAAGAAAAGTTAGAATTGTGAGATCGTGATGAGCAGAGACGTGGAAATTGAAAATTGCAGACTACAGGAGGAGAAAGGAACAGAAGAAAGCCAAGAAAAAACATGGACTACCACTGACCCTAGCAACAACTAAGGCTTGGGATGATGCAAATTGAAAAAACTAGGATCACTCACACAAGGGTGAGAAAGTCTCTCACCGGAGTAGACAAAACCTCTCATAGGAGGAGAGAATGACTTTGGTGTTTATAGTTAAACTCAAATTGTTTTGACGGACCAAATAATTTAATTGGACGTGGGTAAACTGACTTGGGTCGTCTCATGTTAGTTGCGATTTACTCATTCCAACAAGCATTTGTTTGGTTATGGTTCCACCTTACATTTCGGTTACCTGATCAATTCCACCACCATGCATTCATGTGTTGTGACTCAATAAACGGACACAACATATTTGGGCCTAATTTTGATTAAATGACACAATATAAAAGAAACACTAACATTTTCCGAAAAAATAAAAACATTTTCATAGTATCAAAAGCATTTTTGGCAATGTGTGAGACCATGATTTCTGGACCAATGATTGGTGGCAAGTCTGGAATACTCAAAACCCATAGAGTGCAGTCCGGCGAGCTAGGCTTAAGCCTATTAATGATATTACTTGTCTCTCAAGTAAAGAAACCCTAATTAAAGTCAAATTAGGATATTTTAGGGATTAGGCAACATAATCAAGATTCTAGGAAGATTGGGTATCTTATTCTAGATTTCCTCTTAGATAGTCTCTCGATTTGATGAAGATTACTCTCCCTACAAGGACTCTCAATATCCCTATAAATACACTAGCTTAGGTATTTATCGAAAGAGGATCAATCTCTCACTCGAACTTTTATACACATATTCTATCTATACCTAACAGAGGCTTGAACGATGCCGTCTACACATCGACACATCCATGGATAACTCTTCTCCCAACGCCCCGACTATTCGTCAAGGATGGTTTACTCCGTTTTCTTTAGAACTATGTTGTGGTTTCATTCTCCTTCCCAAAGATATGTAGGAAATCCTATTCGGATTCAACCACACTCCCAATCAACTAGTACAAAAAACACTTTGGGTGACGTAGGTCTTTCGTCAAGCAAAGTCCAAAAACGTTGCCCAAAAATTTGCACGACGAACCTTCGTTGCGCGGGAAGCGTCGCGCCAAGCTTGTGGAAGCAGGGTTTGCACGACGAAGAAATAACCTACGTCGCACAAAGTGGATTTGCGTGATGTAGGGTTGTGCGTCGCACAAAGACACTTTGCGTGATCCACGTCACTACGTCACGAAAATCCACTTTACGTGTCGCATGCCTACGTCACGCAAACCCATTTTGAGTGACGTATGCATTCGTCACGCAAATCCACTTTATGGGACACATTTCCCTACGTCACGCAATGACACTTTGCATGACCTATGGAACTTCTTCATCCCGCAAACTCTTTTTTTTTTTTTTTTTTTTTTGACAAAAATATTTTTGATTTATTTTTAATAAATATTGTAATTCAATTCTATACAATAAATAATAAACCAAGAAAAAATATTTAATTATAAACCATATGAAAATGTACATACAAGATGTCCGAACAAAAAAAGAAAAAACTACAATAAGTAGTCTTCTAGGTTTTATACATCAGACTACTGGGTATCGGGTAGGCAAAGTGGTTGGGAGGTCGAAGGTGGAGCAAGATCAGGTGCTGGCAGCTGGATTTGGAGACCGGACATCACTAAGGCATGTACAATCATACTCATATGGGCCCTCATCTGCTCATTCCCCTCATCTGCTTGTTCTCAGCCTTTATCTGCTCGCTCCGGGCCCTCATCTGCTCACTCTGGGCCTTTATCTGCTCGTCCTGGGCTGCAAGCTAACCTTTTAGGGTTGTCACTTCCTCCTTTAGGGGATTGACCTCTCCTGTGGTCGATCTGGAAAAGGAGGCACCCGTCTCATGAACCCGCCCCTTCCCCATACCCCAAACAACCTTGCCATGACGACGACCGTACTTTTGATCTAGGACCTCAGTCATGATCTGAAAACCTACATCCTCGGGTATAGTGACGTCCTCCATCGGGGTCTCTGGGGGAAGCTGCAATGTTGCTTCTTGGAGAACAGCCCTTTTCCACCATAGCAGCTTGTAATAATAAAGAAAAAACATATAATGTTTAATAACAAAATAAATATAATATTTGAACAATTCATAAATATAAGAATAATAACAATTACATATACTTACATGAAGCTGCTCAGTGGTCTCATTGCCAGGTCGAACGTAAACATCATTGAACACATCGATCTCTAGAAACTTAGAACCTTCCTGAAGAAAAAAAAAAAAAAAACATTAGGAAAATTTTATTAATCAATAATAAAAAATAAATTGTATAAAATTTCAAAATTAATATACTTTTACCTGACGTCGTGCCTCAAGCCTATACGAAAAGGGTTTCAAACCGGAATGGTGTAGAAGTGTCTTAGAGTCCCGAGCTATCTTGCCAGCAACAGATTTCTTTTGTTAAACACACAATATACATGTTAGTGCGACTATTTGAAAGAAATTATTTTAAAAAGCTTAAAAAAATAACTAAAACATTAATGAATTATTATTAAAATATTATGTACATACCACAAAATTTGGGTCCGTAAAATGGTTGCAGAGCCATTCCCAATCCTTTGGCCGGTCCTCCAACTCGGATGGGCAACCCTCTAGGCAAGCAGTATGTGGATCATTAAATTCCTTAAAATACGCATGAAGATCACTTTTCCAATTTTTGTACCGATTTGCGAAGGTCTTGTCTAAGTAGGTGATAACCTCGGGGGATATGTCCTTAAAATCAAATTCGACCTACAAATAAAACAACAAAATAATAGTAAGAAATTTAATAATATTAAGATAATATACTTTGGTTTTTAATATTTGTAAACATAATTTAAAAAAAATGATAAAAGGCTAAAAATTAATATACTAACCGACAACTTGTCCCACACCAGTATCTTCGTTTCCTGGGAATTTCTACCCAAGTCTCCTACTGCATAGGACAACAATCCCGAATAACACAACCACAGCTAGTAGCGACGATGCTATGCTGCTGTGAGGTAGCCGCTCCACGATGTCACGAGTCATACGCAATCTTGATCAAAGAGGCAAACAGACGTACATTCGGTGCCGTCTTCAGCATTCGATTAGGCCCCCTGGTTTTTTTTTTAGCTGTCCAAAACAATTTAAATGGTGAAAACCCTAAGCTTAAATTTTTACAGAAAATTCTGCAAAGCCTCCCCTAATAGTATATCATTTCCCAAAACCTTAAAAAAGTAAAATAACAGTAATCACAACCCGCAACACATTTTCACAATCCAGCAAATTTTCACAATCATAAAAATAATAGTTTCAAAATGAAAAAGAAAAAATACAACGTAGTGAAAATTAGAAAAAAACTACCTGGATGGGAGCCCCCACCCTCAACTCTGGATGATAAGGAAGTGTGAATAGAAGGCTCCAAATCGCGGCGGCGCCGATGAGGCTGTCGTACATTGAGCGATTGAACCGACACTAATGACGTCGATGATACAAGCACCTAGGATGCCGTAGCAGTACCCTCAGTGAGGGGTGTAGGCTCCCCAGTCAATAGAGCACTCACGGCTGGAGCAGTAAATGCTGATAATGCAGGAGGCGCATTGGTCACACTCCTACGACGAGTGATCAACTACGACATCTGTACACTTTTTGAACTTTAAAAATATAACATTAGAAACTAATCCTTTCTTGCATTTGAAACTAGAAGAAAAAAGCAAAGAAAACTGAACAACTAAACCATGTGTGAAAAAAGCAAAGAAAACTGAACAAACACTAACATAAGGTTAAAATTTCTAAATGAAACTAACATACGTATTCTCCTCTGGGTAGAAATACGGGATTGAACAATCAAAGTTGCCACTTAGAAAAAACATATAGCACACTAAAGATAAAGTAGAACCCACACGCAATGGCCTTGGAAGTGCATATAAAATCTTCGTTTAATCATAATTTCCCAATCTACATATCTAGAAACTATCATAAACTTGACCTTTTCTATCAGCTCCCGCTAGAGCATTGCTTATCTGTTAATATATATATATATATATATATATATATATATATATATATATGATACAATAGACCATATAGGGAATGCTCATCTGAGCCATATACCATATGACCTCAGACATGGATGCTCTTATACAATAAAATTAACCTTTCAAAGTATCTGTAAAAACAATACACAAATGAAAAGCAAATCATAACTTGCTCTTAAGAGTTTCTGACAAAATAAACTATAAAACAAAAGAATATAAGGTGATACCAGGCTTTCTATATTTCAGCTTCTCTTTTCCACGACTCCATCTAAAACTATACCTAATACATGGCGGCTAAGAACAAGATAAATTGATGTTTTCTGGTGGCTTAAGAGAAATCAAAACATTCAAGTTCCTTCTTCACCTCTTCAGGGATATTGGCTAATCTAATAAACAAAACCAAGACTCTCATGACCACTGCTATATCAAACTATCTTCCTAAATTATATGAATTGCAGTTAAAATGAACGTAAAAATCCTCTTTAGAAGGTTATTGGAACTTCAAGCATGCAGTGTGTTATGTATGAATTAGTTAACATAAAACCGAAACATGATAACAACAATAGTAACACAAATACAACGATTTAAATTCCCCAAAATCATATGTATTTGCCTTTGGTTGTGGCTATATTCATTCAAATTACCAAATTGCACAATGCAGTTATCATAAACAGACATTTGGAAACGAGAAATATAACATGACACGAGATAAATTAGAACAAAACACAGGTCCTTTTATTTACTCATAATGTATGTATTGTGTACTTCCCCTACATAGATCAGGAAGGCAAATGCTGGTTATACAAAACACCCTAGAAGCTTAAATAAAATGATATTTCATAAACTGAGAACCACATAATCTGATCAGTGAGTACTGAAAACTGAACATTCAGGTAATCCCCAAAATTTGGCAGAAGAAACAAAAAAATTCTTAAATTCTCGAAGCAAGAGCCCACATTAATTGGTCCCAAACCAGTGAAGCTGAAGAACTAAAACCTAATCCAATGTGATACCCCAAACTAAACAAAACCCATCTCATAAAATCAGTGATATTGATAAATTACTCAGTAAGCAGAACAACATTTGCATCAGGTGAGCTAAATTCAATAAATTAATTAAATCAATTCATCCTTAACATAATGATTTATCACACAAATAACAATAAACATTTGTGCACAAATTCGATTCAAAATAATAAAGAAAAAAAATCCTAGGCACAAATTCCATTCAAAAGGGAAGATGGCTGAACAGGGGTGTGCGGGTGGTGGTAAATGGGGACAAGTCGTTTCCCCTTTAAATAATTTTTTTTTTCAATCACAAAACGAAACAACTTTGGGCTCTTTAGTTTTCAAAGTACTCAGAAATCAACATGCAATTTCACCCTAAACCCTAAATAACAAAAACCCACCGAAAATCAGAAACCCTTACCTTGATTTTGGGACTTGATTCGCGTCAGCTTCGAGATTCGTGTGGCTACCCGTCGTTTAGAACGAGAGGGAAGAGAGAGGTCTACGAGAAAGAGAGAGGGAAGACATGTCTGGGTTCAACATTTGGGGATCAAGGTTGTGAAGAGGAGAGAGAGGTCTACGGGAAAGAGAGAGGGAGAGATGAGCGAAAGGGAAGAGAGAGGTTTATGGGAAAGATAGAGGAGATGCAGGACTATAGGAAGAGAGAGGTATATGGGAAAGAAAGAGGAGATGCAGGTTTACGGAAAGAAATAGCGAGAGGGAAGAGAGGTCTGCGGGGTTCAAGGTTGTGAAACTTGGAAAATTGAAAAAAAATGCCTATTTTTCGCTATGGGACCACCAAAATTATCAACTGGTTTTGACGTAGGTATACAATTTGACGTCATGCAAAGTGGTTTTGCGCGACGACTACATTAAAGCGTCGCGCAAGGTTTTTTTTTTTTTTTTTTAAATTATTAAAAAAATTATAGAAAATGTGACTTTACTCCTTTCAAGTTCAATTTTTTTTTTTTTTTTACATAAACCCCACAATAATATATTTTTCTAACAAAAACCCATAATAATTTTTTTTACATGTATATCATTCAATTTCTTAAGTGTTATAAGTACAAAATAAATAAATTAAAATCTACTTAGTAAATACATATACCATTGAACTTGATGGGAAACACATTGTACGAAACTAGTTTCAACGATTCAACCGTCAAACTTGTTTGTATATGCTTCGAGATCGCATACGCCAAAAATCGCAAAAAACAAATATGCAGAGATCAAGTAACGGAACAAAACTTTTCAATGGTTATAAATGAAAAATAACGATTTAACGATAGTTTTAACTCCGATTTTGATGATTTTTTACAGCTACATTCCTGGATCCTAAATGAATACAATGAACTAATTCGATCATCAATTTAAAGTATTTACACAAGTGGATACCACAAAATCTTATGTTATACTTAATAAAAGTATTAATAAACTCTAAGTGTTAGTAACTCTATCATTTTGATGGGAAACTCATTGTATGAAACTAGTTTCAACGATCCAACCGTCAAACTTGTTTGTATATGCTTTGAGATCGCATACACCAAAAATAGCAAAAAACAAACATATAGAGATCAAGTAACGAGACAAAACTTTTCGACGGTTATAAACAAAAAAGAACGATTTAAAGGTTATTTGAACTCTGATTTTGATAATTTTTTACAAATACACTCCTTGACCCTATATGAATACAATGAATGAAATCCATCTTCAATTTAAAATATTTACACTAGTGGATACTACAAAATCTTATGTATACTTGATGAAAGTAATAAAAACACTTTGTGTGACGCACGTCCCCAACGTCACACAAAAACACTTTGCATGACGCACGTCCCCGACGTCACGCAAACTAGGATTGCGTGATGCACATCCCCTGATGTCGCACAAAGACGCTTTGTGTGACGCAAGAACCTACATCACGCAAAGACACTTTGCGTGACCTATGGAACTTCTTTGTCGCGCAAACTCTTTTTTTTTTTTTTTTTTTTCTTTCTTTTTGACAAAAATATTTTTGATTTAATTTTTAATACATATTGTAATTAAATTCTAAACAATAAATAATAAACCAAGAAAAAGTATTTAATTATAAACTATATGAAAATGTACATGCAAAATGTCCGAACAAAAAAAACGAAAAAACTTAAACAGCCTTTGCGTGACGCATTGGCCCACTCTGGCATTGCGCAAAGTTATATTTTAAAAAACTCAAAAGCTTGAACCAAAACTCAAAAGAAAACAATAGCCAAGTTGAATTGGTCAACAACAAATCACTCCTACTTCAACTACTTGGTGACTAAATAAGAAAAATAGAAGTAATTGAATCCTCAAATCCATAAAATCTCCAAAATCCACTAAAAAAATAACGAAAAAAAAAATCAAGAATATAATATCTAACTGATTCACACTTTGTTCAAAGTTCAACCACTTAATATCATATATTAATAAACATGATCATACACTTCAAAGTTAAACATAATTGTAATATCTCCTAAAATAGGGCCCACAGGGGACACACAAATGTGCCACGTGGACACCGTCCTCACTCATCCACAAGAACTCCTTCACTATAAATAGTAGCTCCTCACCCACATTATCCAAGACCCAATTGAAGCCTTCAAGCAGTGGATTCTGCAAATCCAAAAAAGAAAAGAAAGACCAATGTCTGATTTCACAGAAGATTTTCAAAGCATTAAACCTTCATTTCCTTTCTTAGATATTGACCCAAACATGTAACTAGTAAACGAGTTTGCAGACTAATTCAATATTCCAAGTGTCATGGAATATCCAAGCTTGAATATTCCAGGACAAGATCTTGATAACCTTTGAATATTCCATCAGTTTAACAAAAGATAGTACAGAGAGTTGAACAAAGATGAGACAAAGGGGAAGTAGCTGTCCCCATATGCTAGTTATTTCCACACAACCTGAGATACATTAATCATCAAACTACCTACTAATTAAGGCTAGTTGCTTGTAGAAATGCTCTGAAATGCTCCCTAACATAATGAAAATAATCATGATAAGAAAATACACTCAACAACTATTATTTTAAAAAAAATAGAAACAATAACAAAAGAAGGTGTATGTTGACCCAATTACCTGATCATTCCTCCAGCAACCGGACCTCTGTTAGCATCCTGTTCAACACTATAAAGATCTTGGATTTTCAAGGTGAGCCTGTGCAGAAACAATTCCTCAGTACTTAGTGACTTTGGCCAATCCATGGACGCCACCATATGATGGAATAAATTAACAGGTTAACACATTATGCATTTTTAATTAAAATGAAATCATAATAGAAGACTGAAACTTACAGCTGCAATTGACAGAATTCTGTCCTCCCAAGGTTGCGGATGGGTAACACCCGCACCAAAGATCATTGTGTTTAACCATCTGCACAAATGTAGAAACAAGATGAAAACCATCTAGATTAGGAAAATAGTTCCATTGATTGAAAAGATGAAATCACGTCCAGACCTCAACTATACTTATGACAAGTTGGGATTAGTGAAAACATTTCAAATCCCTTGCAATATATTCGCGACAGCATGCAATACATTCGCGAGTTTTGATTGTCCATAAGCGTACATGATGGTGTATCTGTACATTTTCAAGTAAGAAAAGAAAATCAGAATGAAGTATTAGTGGACAAAATTTGGTACATCATATGATAAAATCATTAAATCGTATACTACTGCAATTTCGCAGCGGCATAGAGTGATAAAATCATTAACTTGTCCTCTCAGACTTACCCTGATTCATCATTAATCTTGTCAAAACGAATCCCCTCGGTATATGCAAATCGGTGAGCCTCGGATGATAAATTCACGATCCTTCCTTCTTTGTTGCCTTCCCTTGTTGTCTTTTTCATGGTTTCTAACAGAAGGTTTGTCAACAGTGGTAAGAACTATCAGATCCCAATTTTGTACAGAGGATATAACAACTGATTTCAAATGACCTGTATTTTTAAAATGAGAAACGGAAACCTTATTGAACAGCAAAAACTTGGGGGAAGTCGCAGTCTCTATGTGAAAAATGAAGTTTTTCAGGATCCTAATATTATTCCAATCTAACAATTCCGTATTTCTTTAAACAAAAACAGAAAATTGCAACGATGGGCCAGAACTTTCCTATCTCAAGTTTGTCAACCATATACCCTCATGGAAAAGATTTTCACATCCTAGAGAGAAAGCAAGAGAATTTTATGTTTTGCATACCTAAATGATTGGTTGCAAACTGCATTTCAATGTTGTCTTTTGAAAGCATGAACGGAGTTGCCATAACCCCTGCATTATTACTTCAAACAAACACAGAGGAGAAATTAGCAATAACAATCATCAATCCAAAGGCACACAACCAAGCGTGTATGCAAACACACACAGACACATGTAGTCACAAGTAGCAACTGAGTTATATTCAGCAGTCCAATTCAGATGTCTTACATCAGAATATGCAATGGTCGACCAGATGAGTTATATTCTGATGCAAACTTCCTAATTGATGCCATTGAGCTGAGATCAAGCTCCATGACATCGATTTTGGCCGTGGGGATTTCCTTAAGTATTTCCTCTTTAACATTCCTACCAGCATCAGTATTCCTTACTGCCATGACGACATGAACACCATGCAAGGCTAGAGCTCGTGTTGTCTCCAAACCAAGACCACCCGATGCTCCTGAAGTTATACAGTCTAAGAACTGAAAAAGGCAAAACATTTCAAATTGCTCTCATAAGAGCCATTACTTGTCTCACATTTAGCTTCCCAGTGTACTACGTTGCCTCTCTCCAGGGCGATGACAAGTTGCTCTCATAAGAGCCATTACTTGTCTCACATTTAGCTTCCCAATGTACCTCTGCCCAGCAACAACGGAACAAAGCTACAAAAAGGTAAATAGGTAAATTATCTTCACAAGCTGTTTTGAGCGACGCCAACTGCGTCACGCAAAGAAGTTTTGCGCGACGCATGTGCACCTGCGTCACGCAAAATCAACAAAAAAAGCGTAAAACATTCTTGGTTTGGCGCCAAAATCTTGCGGGACGCACAAAACGTCATGCAAACGGCCTTTGCGCGACGTTTTGTGTTTAGCGTCATGTAAACAGACTTTGCGCAACGAATTTGGCTGCGTCGCGCAAACATGTTTTTGTACTAGTGTCAAAACGTGGGTCCCCAAAACCCAATGTCGTAGGATCAAATCCTACATAGCGTGATTCTGTTCTTGTTAGGTCTAATTACATTGAAATGACTCCACTAATCGCACGCCCAATTAACCTCATTCTCTCCTCGTCAGTGACCATGGGCTAATTTGACTGGATTTAATCTCCATCTGCAAATGTGCACGAATTTAGTTCCAACACAATATTTAGCCGAGTTGAATGTGCTTTAGAATAAACACACGTGATTAAAAGTTGTTTCTAAAAGATGCGATAGAGTCAAGTTTCATATAAAACACATGCAATTTATCTCATGGAATTGCAGATCAAAATCCAACCCACAGATAACTCAAAAGTAGCAACAAGGATACACAAACTTAATACAAACTAACTAAATAGTTAGCAGATTAAGGAAACACCCAGAGACTTCACCAAAGAGACAAAATTTAGAAGCGGCTCCATAAATATTTCTCCATCCCTTCCATATCACTCGACCATTGTCATGAAAAATTTATTACTCTTATTTATTGCTGTCTATTTTCTTTTGCTAACAAATTCCCTTGCTATGTCTCACAAGCATCATTGTATTTTGGGTTATGCAAAGATCAAAATTTTAAATTAAATTTTGTAAACTAAATAATGTGAATGTTGTGAATTATTACTTAAATGTTAGTTCACATGTTTATTTTTTATTAATGACACATTATTTAATTTGTAAATTTAATTTAAAATTTTAATCTTCCTAACATTAACTTTTATTTTTGGAATAAAAATATAATTTCATTTCCTACGAATTCCAATACATTTTCTGACCACTGCCCCTCCACCGCACAAATTTATTACCAAAAATTAAAAAAGTTTTTCTTTTTAATTTTTATTGCTTGGGATGCAAAGAAACTTACGCGTGTGATCTTCGACAGATTCCAATATCAAGCCTTTGAATTTCGTGATGAGTATAGATAATTGTATATCGTACGATGAGAATTTATTTTAAAATTTAAATTTAAAATTAAATATAAATAATACTTGATAAAAAAATAACCGTAAAATGTTAGATGAACATTATCGATCACGAAATCTCTAAGATCTTTAGAAAAATGATCAGGTCAAGATCGTTTTCCATTAAAAAGTAGCCTAAAAGGTATTGCAGGAGGAAAATTACCAAAGCAAATACAAAAATGGCTAGAATTATGTGCGAAATAAACAAAACCATCAACGGACATGTTGAACTTCTCTGAAAATGTGATTAATCGTGTAATTCGGAATCTGCTGCAGTAGATGTGAAAAAAGATTACTCAAATAAAAATAAAAGAGTTTTTAGAATAGTAAAAATTTTATTTTTATAATCTAGTTGTAGCATTATTTGTATTATCTTTCTAATAGAGATAAAATCTACATATGTTGACCGGCACTAATTCTATTAAAGAAATGATACAAGTAATGGTATAACTAGATAATATTGCACCGTTACTCTAAAACTAGTTGTTCAAATTAAGTTGCCCACACTTTATACCACTCCAGTAAAAAATTGACAGGCTTGAGAGGGTAGCATTTAACAATATACACCCACCAACAACCACACGGCCCAAGAACACCCCCACCACCCCCCCTCTGTCTCCCCACCTTCGAAGTACAAGGGAAGTGCCTTTATTAATCCCACCTGTAATTTCAAGCTTTACCCATTTTATACCCATCTCTCTCTTCCCAACACTCTTCACTTCACTCTCTCTCCTCTCTCACACACCTTCCCTGCATTCATCAATGGCTACTTTCTCCTTCTCCTCTGCCTCTCTTTCCTCTTACTACCACCTTTTTTTCACCCTCCTTGCATTCCTCGTTTCTGGTTTAATCTTCCTGCTCACCCACAAGTCCAAATCCAAGCACCCCAACCTCCCTCCCGGTCCGCCGGGATGGCCGATTGTGGGCAACCTCTTCCAGTTTGCCCGCTCCGGAAAACCATTCTTCCAGTACGCCGATGATCTCCGGCAAAAGTACGGCCCCATTTTCACTCTCAAAATGGGTACCCGAACCATGATCATCCTGAGCGACGCCAAGTTCGTCCACGAAGCGTTGATCGAGAAGGGCGTGGTCTTCGCCACCCGACCCAGAGAGAACCCTACCCGAACAATCTTCAGCTGCAACAAGTTCACCGTCAACGCCGCTGTCTACGGTCCGGTGTGGCGGTCCCTGCGGCGGAACATGGTCCAGAACATGCTCAGCTCCACTCGCCTCAAGGAGTTCCGAAGTGTTCGAGAAAATGCCATGGACACACTCATCGAGCGGATTAAGGCCGACGCCAAGGCCAATGACGGCGTCGTTTCGGTCCTCAAAAACGCGCGCTTCGCCGTGTTTTGCATCCTTTTGGCAATGTGTTTCGGGATCGAGATGGACGAGGAGACCGTGGAGAAAATGGATCAGATAATGAAAAAGGTTTTAATCGTGCTCGACCCGAGAATCGACGATTATTTGCCTATTTTAAGCCCCTTTTTCTCCAAGCAGAGGAAGAGGGCTCTGGAAGTGAGAAACGAGCAGATTCAGTTCATTGTCCCGTTCATCGAACGACGTCGCAGGGCGCTCGAGAACCCAGGGTCGGATCTCAAAGCGACGTCATTCTCCTACCTCGACACTCTTTTCGATCTCAAAGTGGAGGGACGAAAATCTTCGCCTTCTCATGCTGAATTGGTCACGCTTTGTTCAGAGTTTCTGAATGGCGGCACTGACACGACGGCGACGGCTCTCGAATGGGGAATTGCTCAGCTCATAGCAAATCCGGACATTCAAGAGAAGCTGTACAGCGAAGTTAAAGCGAGTGTGGGCGACAGAAAAGTTGACGAGAAAGATGTGGAGAAAATGCCTTACTTGCAAGCCGTAGTGAAGGAGCTTTTACGTAAACACCCTCCTACCTACTTTTCGCTAACCCATGCAGTAACTGAGCCTACTACTTTGGCCGGGTACGACATACCGACGGATGTAAATGTTGAGATTTACTTGCCCGGCATATCGGACGACTCGAAATTGTGGTCCAACCCAGAAAAGTTCAATCCTGACCGGTTTGTGTCCGGTAGGGAGGAGGCGGATATAACCGGGGTGACCGGAGTTAAAATGATGCCGTTCGGGGTCGGCAGGAGGATATGCCCGGGGTTGGGCATGGCGACCGTGCATGTTCATCTAATGCTGGCTAGAATGGTGCAGGAGTTTGAGTGGAGTGCTTACCAGGCTAGTGAGAAGATAGATTTTGCTGGAAAATTGGAGTTCACTGTGGTGATGAAGAACACTCTTAGAGCTATGATCAAGCCTAGAATCTGATTAATTAGGTGGAAAAATCTAATAAATTTTGATATAATACGGATATATAGCGTTTATCATATGTACATCTTGTTTTTCATTTTAATCTGTATCATGGATCACCGTTTTCGTATTGTTTTTCGTTTTATTTCTTATGTTTTGGTTATTTAAGTGTTTATGGATTTAAAAAATTATTTTGTTGTACTTTAAGGAATAATTAGTTGTAAAATAAAGCGGCTTGAGCATTTGATATGAAAAACAGTATAAAAGCGTTTGGCAATTAATGGTATTAATATGTGGTAAGTGTAGCCACTGTTTTAAAAATTATCGTCTAGGCAAGGTTAGACCATCTCTAAAGAAGATGTCAAATTTTGAACATAAAATTTAAATTTGATAGCATACATGACACTTTGACATATTTTAACATTTCGCTCTCCACCTGATATGTTAAATTAAACTATTATTTTATTACATTATTTTGTTTTCTTAATTTTTGTTTTATATTTTAAATTTTACACATATAAATCATTCATGATAATTGAAACCCAACAAATAACTTTTTTCTGGTTGAACACTAATAAGGACATGATCCTCATCTTTGTTGAATAACTTTTTTCTTGCTTCCAACACCACGAATAACTTTTTTCTTGCTCCAGGCAACAAAATCTCATCAGTTTGAACATTGAGCTCTCTCTCTCAAATCAAAAGAAGACCTATCTTTTTTATTCATGTGATCAGAGATGAATTGTCTCCAGAATCTCACAGAGTTTCTCATCCATTCCGCACACACATATTCCATAAGCATTCACAATTTTCTTTACCAATTAATTTCTTTTTTCATTTCATTTTTTTTTTTCCAAATCTCATATCCTCTGTTTTGCCTCTCCAGAGCTTCGGGAGCTAATCCCAGGAGGCCTTCGGCAGGATATGAACAGACTGCATGTTCAATGATCAACATTTATTATAATAAATGATTAAACTAATTAAAAAATATATTTGAAGCTGCTGTCAAATTTGACAGCAACCCCCTTTGCTGCCATTCCATGTCATGTCACATAGGATTTGGCATTTCGATTGGAAACAATTAGTGGCTGTCTTTTTTTAGTGTTATAGCTTATGTGGACATTTTAACATCTTCTTTGGAGATGTTCTTAAGCAGCTGGCCACCGCCCCAATTAATCTCTAGGCATTTGAAAATTAAGAAAATGCACCTAAAACTGTTTAGGCGTCCGTAGACCGTCTAGGCGCCTGCTTAGGCACCCGTTTAGATCACGAATCTCACTCAAACAGGAAATAGATAACTTTCATTTTGCGTTATGTTCTAATACTTTATAATCTATATGTCATTCTATTTTCCCATTTATGTATCTCAATGTAGTTATGTGCTTTTAAGTATAAACAAACACTTATTTATACAATGGATAATAAACTTACTTAAATCCTCCTAGGCCCCGTCTACGCGTTAGGCTCCAGCTAGTAGCTCAACTAGCACCCGGCGTCTTTTAGAACTTTGAGCGTAGCACTACTAAAAAAGTATTAGACAAATATTGGGTATCCATCGCTTTTTTTTTTTTTTGGCCAACTACTTCTATTAAGTTCATATAAAATCTTGCTTTACACAAGTATAACATGTAAAAGTTTGTTAAGCATTGATCGTGCTTAGTACCAATATCTACAATACATGATACATTTTCACTTCTACTTTTCGATTCTCTACACTGGTTTCGAAGCTTTTCGTACGAGATAAATTAGCTTAGCTTAATTAAGAAAGCAAATTGTAAATTGTCTTGCACTCTAGCTTAACTAAGACGTTTAAATTTCTTGTAATCTTAAGTTCCTTGTGTGTCAAGTATTGCGGAAAAAGTCGTATAAAAAAATTAAATATGGTGCAACTGAGTGTGGGGTAGAATTTGAGAGGATTAGTAATAGTTAAAAGTGGTCAAATTTAACAAACTGCATGCTTGTGTAATTAAAGTCAAAACTTGAGTCCATCTGTATTTATGTACATTAAAGCAATCAGTTGCTATGTACTTTAAATTTTGGAAGAAATAATTATATCGTGTGAGTGTGTGTCTTCTTCCATTCCACAAAATCTGTCGATGAATCCTATGTGACCACCATGAATGTTGTTCTTGACCACAAAGTCACACCTGATGTGATACTTTATATATGTGTGTGTGTGTGTGTGTCTGTATCTTGCCTAAACTTAGCTTTATCAATTCCTCAGGCTTGTTTTAATGTTTTTGTTTTTGAACAAGTGGTATGAAAAGAGAGAATCGCTGAGCACAAGATCTCGAGTGCAAGGTGTCAATGAGTTTAATCATTTGAAATTGTTTACATATTTACTTCAAAAGATATTAGCAATAATGCAATTGTTGTGCAATCAACCATCGAATTATGTGACTTGGCTCGAGATCATGGCAAGATTGGCTATGGTCAAGCGTAGCATCGTTTCATGATGACCCTTACGATAAAAATACATCAAACAAAAACATTTGATACAAAAAAATTTTCATTGTGAACTAAAACTTTATGTGCTCATAGAATACTTGTTACAAGGTATATCATTTCACGTATTATATAATATGAGTGAGCTTCTCACTTTTGAGTAAAATAATAACACCATGTAACATTGTTTCAAGTATATTAAAAATTCCGAATCTTTATCTAGCAATGTGATAAGATAATCAAAACCGTATATTGTAGGGACGTAAGTAAACAATTACTTCACACAGAAAACTTAAACAAGTGTTTTTGAGAGAAAAACTTAACCCGGTTAAGAATTCAGACATATTTCTTTAAAAGCGAGAATGAAGAGAAAATTATACAACGAACGATGTGGCTGGTATTCTTTCTTCCCATGGATCGGGGATTTAACGAGGGAAGGGTGATTACAGTAGTCGTACAAGTGGAGGTGGAATACGGACCAGACAAGGATTGTCTATCCTCCTAGTTTCGGTGCCTTCCCGTGCCTTCGTGTTTTGTGTGGTTACAGTTAAGTCACGTCAACATTTTATATTATTTTTCTGATAGAGATAATAAGATAAAAATAAATAATAATATAAAATGTTAACGTAGTTTAACCATGATCATACAAACAGAGAATACAAGAGGACATCGAAACTAAGAGGGGAGACAATCCTTGTCCATACGGACCACCATCTGTCAATATGTCTGCATCGTGGCATTAATAAGCCGAATAATTTGGTGCCCTTTTCATGTGAATAATCATGTGTGGATATTGCATCTTGGGAAAGCTGCCCCGAGTCATTATTTGCACATCGTATCCTAAGAGATATTTAATGTATCCAACATTCAAAAATACATTTTCGTTCTATTTATATTACAACACGCAATATGTAAGTTCTATTTATATTATAACACGTAATATATACGGCTTTTGTATGGCAAGATTGCTCGCATTGTAGGTATCCACTTTGCACCATCATACTCTAAAGTACACTACCATGACCATCTATACAAGTAACACTTTCAGCAGTCTTAAATGTAATGAAATTGTTGCTTGCTTCTTATTTATTTGTACACTGATCTCACAATTATATAAACGGTAATGTTAAATAGACTAAATTTATAGACAAAATTTAGAAAACTAAAAAAATACAGAAATTAACGATCAATTTATTACTTAAACGTTGATAAACGTACTCATTCCTATTGATGACATATCATTTAGTTTACAAATTTTATCTCTAAACTTAATCTCCCTAACATTACTTATATATATATATATATATATATATATATATATAAATAATAGGGAACTGTTGTCTGCCATTCAATAAAATCATATTGAACTCATCTTTAGAAGAGAAAAAGGAACAATGAGCGTAAACGCTACATATAGAAGAGGCTTGACTTTATATAGGCCATTAAATTGTTGTCTCGTGGCAGTTTAAATATTCGGGGTCTCTTTTGAGTTTTTCAAGACTATGAAGGGTAATAATTGAGATATCAAATTTTTTAAACTAAATGATATATCATTAAAAAGAAATAAACACGTTAATCAACACTTAATTATTACCACCCCATCTATCCTCCACCAACGCTATTGCCTCTACACCACCGGTCCACCACTATGATCACACACGACCATCACCACTACACCCTGCCATTGTATGCAGAGTGGTTCAGAAGTGATAACTTTCTTTGACCACCACCACCTAACAATGACCATTTTCATTGCTTTCACCAGATTACTCCGACCACCGTTTCCAACACCACTGCCACCATCAGCCCACCACTGGTCATATTGTGTGATGTAGAAACAACTAAAAGAGCATGGCTGTCAGTGTCTGTTGACTGGTGTACTTACTAGTTACGAAACTCAACCAACATTGCCGGCTGACACAAAACATAATTTTTCTTTTTCCAAAATTCAATGTCATACATTACACGCACAAACATTTACAGCACTAGATAACTCTCTGTGCCAATGCTTTTTGCCAACTACTAACAAACACTCTCTACTTGCAAATTTTACTCCTCCGATGTGTCACACGACTGTAGAAAAGTCATATTGGATTCGGGTTGAACAAAATCAATAGAGTAGTAAATTTCACAATCCCGTCTTCTTCTTCTACATTCTCTCATTTGTCGCTTGATTCTTCTTGGGTGTACTCAATCCAATGGCGAGAAAATAAAATTAGGAACATAGACGCTAAGCGCAGTGCGCAATGGTTTTTTGGAGCACTTTCCAATCACATAAAGCCTAAAGTTGACACAAAGAGTGATTAGAAGTGTTTATCCATGCGCCTAAGGTTCTATGTTCCAACCCTCTCCCCTAATATCGCTTGTATTAAAAAGGGAGTAAAGTTGAATTCGAGATCAAGTTTTGGGTCTAAATCATTAGCTTAATCCCATTTTACCCATAGCTTAGCCCCTTCCCAAGCTTCATCAATTCCCCAGATAAAAGGGGAGAGTGCTCAAACAGATTCCTTCTCTCCATTTCCATGGCAATGAGTTGACAGTAAGGGCATACATGTGAAATACATAACCTCCAGCAAGCAACCTTTACCTGCTACTACTTATAGAACTGATCTAACAAAACTGCCCAAGACCAGCCACCCGAACAACGAAACAAAAGCAAGTGAATCAAAACGAAAAGTAAAATCACTTTTCGATTATATATACAGCAAGCAGCAGAGCCAACAACCGACTTCCTAAGAGAAGGTAACAATGCTATTTTTACTTCCAAACTTTTACGACATACCCATTCTCAATCGCTGCCCGATCAGATGTATTAGCGGATGTATCCTGAATTCAAAGGTACCAATGTGCCTACGGATTTGATGGGCTTTCTACATGCTTATTTGCCAAGTCCTTAGAAATCTGATTACTCTCAGTTAAGGGGGAGCTATTCTCCCTGGCATCCGTTGCATCACCCTCTGATGCTGCATGATCTTCTTGAATGGGGTCCATACCATGGTTTTCATGAGTTCTTGATGCGCGACTATTCAAGAGATAGCGATAAGAATGGGTATTGAAGGACTCTGTACCGTAATGAGACCGAATAGCCGAACTGAACAAGGGTTGCATGCGGCGTTTTCTCTCAGGAAACTCACGCAATGATATTCTACAAACAGGACATGTGGAATGCTGCTGAAGCCATATGTCTATACAGGTCACATGGAAGGAGTGCTCACAATAGGGGAGGATCCGCAATACATCATCACCATGGTATTCTGCGAGGCAAACAGTGCATCTGCAAAATAAAAGAAAAATGAAATTTCATTAGAAAAATGCAACGATTAAGAGATAACATGTTTGACCATATTGATTGAAATTGAAATTGTTGTAAAGTGCCAAGAGTATAGGTGAACATAACAAAAATATTCATTTGATTCTCATTGCTTTTTCTCTTTTCTTTTAACCACTAAAGCAACAGAGAATAAGAGAAAAATTCTGAAACACGTTATTGAGTATTCAGATACCAGACTAAACGTTTACTGTATGTTCTTCATTGGAATGTCACTCAAATTGCAAACTTGACCTCAGTAAAGAGAGAAACAGCAGGCTTGACTAGGTCATAAAGAGAACCTTCACATATTGCCGGAACATTGAAATGAAAGGATTAAGGAACCAAAAACCTTAAAACATTTCGGGATATGCAATAACCAACAAAGTACAAAAAATGGGAAGAGAAATGATTCAGGATAGCAGGATACTGGCTCAGACTCAAAGAACTATTATGTGGTCGATTTACATTGTCAGGCATTAACAAGGATAACTTTTACTGCAGAAGAACACTGCATTTTCCAGATTTTTTAAAACTTACAAAATAAGAGAGCTCCAAAAGAACTGGGAAATGTTATATAGCCCTCTAAATATGCCTACATTGCATCATAACGAAAATACTGCACTTTTTAAGAAATATATGAAAAGTAACATTTCATATCAGAAATCACAAGGGTGGTAATAGCTCTAAGTGCACGTGAAGATAGAAATACTTACATTGATCAATTACTTCTTAAAATACTTTTGGGAACACTAAATAAGTAGCCACTGGCTTTTAGAAACATAAGAAAATGATCTATGATTACACACTGAATACAGCTGAGGATGAATCAGAGGCTATACAAGATTGAAGTGGACAAGTACCTAGCTTAAACTTCATTCTTATATACAGTCACTGACCTTCCAAGCTCAAGGACACATTAACCTCTCTCAAATTACAAAAAGTCTTTTACGAGAAAATTAAACATCACAGACAGAAATTCTCATTAGATGTTAAACCAATGTATCACATCCCACAGTCCAGAACAAATCTAAAATTCTCCATGAGAAAAACAGGGTATGTGGCATCATGGAAGTCTATTGAACACTAAAATGCTGTATTATGTAACCGGAAAAAAGAGAATAAAAGAGGCGTGCTTCTAAGAAACATTATCATCATTTAGGTATGGAAAGAAGAGATTAGCATCTCAAACTAAACATTATCAGTATTAGCCAAAGTACTTGATATTTGCAACTCCCAAAGGTCCAAAAGTTTTACAAGTTGGAATTGGTCAATTCTACATTATCTCCCAACGAGAAACTTTAGAACGAACACTGGAAATCCTTCCCTCTACCCCTTTCCCAGGTATTTTCAAATTCCAATGCTAAACAAATTATAAGACATATGGTTGAGAATCTGAATTGGAATAGCTACCTATACCAAATATTATGGATAATTGAAATAATGCACTCAAGTCCAAAATAGTGAAAAATCATCATATATCTCGCAAGCATTGCATATTACAATCATTCAAATGATAAAAACTGCAAACAGCAATTAAAGTGAGGTATGGAAGAATTAAAGAAATAACATACTGAGCATCTTCTGCTGCTGAAAAAAATGCATCACTGTACTTCTTTGTTGGAAACTTGGCTACTACTACAGGTTCAACGCCATGCAATCCCCGCTCCAGCTGTATACAAATTAAGTGAAAACCACTTAAACTCATGGTCAAAGATACGTATTCCACATAAGCTCATATTATAAAAAGAAAGAAAATTGGAATAAATATATAGGTCTAATAAATCAACAACCTGTTTGTATATAGTGATTCACCAGAATAAGTAAAGAGATATACAAAGACCAAAAGATATATTAAATAGTCTAAATGGTACACTAACTATCAATTCAAAATGACAAACTAAACTCAGGAAGTCACAAAAGAAAGTTGAAGATAAATATTATGCATAAATTTGGTCCCTTAACTTTTCATAACATGGAGCAATAGTCCTTTTGAGTAACACCTCAAGAGATTAAAGGGCAAAATAAGGAGTTCTAATGGAGTTATCCAAAAGGATCATTGCTGCACACTATGACAAGTTCTTTACCAAATTACCAACAGTCACGGACTTTTAGTTCAGGAACCAAAGCTTGAACTAGACTAAAGTTTGGGGGCCATTGCTCCAAATCTCTCTAAACTAAAATCCAAGAACCTTGTTCAATGTAGAAAATGATAAGGACTACATATTGTGACAAAACGCACAATAACTAAATACGAACATAATTACTGAAAGAGTAAGATCTAAGTACAGTGAAACCATTGACAGTCGTGCCAAGAAATTTTTCATTTTTCCAATGAAAAATGGAAAATTCCCAGATTCTATTTTATTCTAATAAGATTAAAATCAAAGCCAATTACTGATAAACGAACAATCCATTCATCCATTCCAGAAAACAAATCAAAAGTAAAGAACTGAAAAGGATGAAACATACAATACTGAGATCGGATCTGGAAGCTATCGGGAAGGAGCGTCTAGAAACATTGAGGTGAATCCTCGCACAGACAAGCCTGGTGCACACGAACACGATGAACATGGTGCTCACCGCGAACCCAATCACCGTCATCACCAGGTTTATCCCTGAAGATATCATCACTCTGTATTTGGGATTTCCAATTTACCCAAATTCACAACAAGCTCAAAATTTATTCAGAAAAAATCAAGACTCGTCAGTCACTCTCACACACACTGCACTGAATTGGGTAAGATTTTCCACTGAGGTAGTGGAAATTCTGAGATATGGGTTTTGTATTGCTGGTGTTGCAGGTTCTAGTGCTGCTGTTGCTTCTGGGATTGAGCCAATTGTCATGGACAGGACAGCTCAAAGGTTAGTTTGTGTGTGGCAGTGAAGAGAGGGGGGAGAAGGGGACTGCTTCAGTGTAGGAGGGAAGAGGGCAGGACTGGATAAGGAGAAAGCCATGGAGGGATTGAGCAGAGCCAGGGACTGAGGAAGCCCATTTAACTGGAATCACACAAAATAAGAGGGATATGATGTACTCGAGGAAGGAGGGATTTGCTCAGATCCAAAGGAAAATCCAGGTTTTGGGTGTTGGGTTAAGATTGGATACTGACTTCAGTCACTAAACAGTGTTGACCGTACAGCAATTAAAATCTAATTAAACATTTTTTTTAATTACAAATATAGAGATAAGTATATTTTATGTCAAAAAATCCACATCAGTAAAATAAAAGACATCACTAATGCTTTTGAACCAATATGTTAATTTCTATGTGGCATGAGATGGAATGGTAATAGAGGAAGTTGTGAAATTTGACAACACTTTCTAATCTATTTTTAGTAATTAATAAATGCTTTTCATAATTTTTAATTTTTTTATTCTTATATTTTTTAAAAATACTAACAATAACTGATAAAAGTAAATAATGTGCAAGTGACCCTTTACCACAGTGGTGAAAATGTGTTAAGCTATTGCATGACGACGTAGGTTAAAATCCCGTCAGTGGCTAATCTAACATTTAATCTAATAAAATCTGTCGTTTGACCCAAGAAAAAGAAAGTAAAAAAAGTAATAAATAATAGTTTAAATCCAACATATCTGTTGGAAAACCAAATTTAAAAAAAAAAAAAACATTAATGTGACACATAAGCCTTCAAATTTAAATTTTATGTTTAAAATTTGAAATCTCCTTGGAGATGGTTTAATGGGACTCTCCGGCGCCTCATGTCATCTTTAAAGAAAATGTCAACTTTTAGATGGAATGACACTGTGCACGTAAAAAATTCAACCAAAATATTATTTGCTAATTGAATTTGTAAACTCTGTAATTAGGAGCAAATTTGACATCAATGCCAATTTTTTTTAATTCATTTTAATGGTAGGTCTCTTATTCCACTAACATTTCAACTAATACAAATTTTGTTTCAATATTTTTTTAATAATTACAACCATTTAAAACTTTGTTTAAATAAGAAAATAACATTTGACAATTTGGTTGGAGAAACACAAAATTTGAAATAGGACTTCAAATTGCCAAATCAGTCATCAATTGTAATTTGATTCTTATAATTTAACATTTTCTTTGGAGATGGTTTCTCTTTAAATTATATTTTGCAAATGTTGATAAACGTGTTTATATTCTATTAGCAACGCATCACATGATTTATAAATTTGATATAAAAAGTTAGTTTACCACATCTCTTTATTTATTTAGAATAACCATATTTACACTGGTTTTCAAATAGAGCTGCATGATTTTAATTTTCTCACACTACATTCTTATAATATGAAATCATAATAATTTATGTTTTTGAGTTGTTTAACTTTCTGATCCCTTGTAAAAGTGAGGAGTGACCATTATGCTACTTGTTTTTTAATTGACATGAAAGTCACACTTACACCACGTCAAAATTTGATTTCTTTGAAACAACAATAGTCTCACAATTAGGCAGCCTAGAAACGGGTTCACATCACATCTACCAAAATTAATTAACGAATTAACTAACTTAATTAATCTTTATTAACGTAGTCAATTAATCAACTAAATTCAGCTTATGCTTCAAGTTTATTGGTGTACAATCTATTATATTTTATTCTAAGCCAAAAAATAATCTATTACTATTTTATAATTACTAGCACTTTACATGACTAACTATTTCGTACACCTTTAAGTTTAAGATTATTGGCAACTGAGACCATTTCTAATAGAAAAGGTTAAAGGTCAAAAAGTCAAATGAACATAAAAAGTTTTATGACGAGTATGATGATGCTGAAATCAACCAAGTTCGTATCCAAGCTATTCATATCTGTATGTATTTGAAAGTACTACAAATCAATACCAAGTGATAGGTATGTTGTATTCGGAATCACTTTTGCCCTGTTATTAAACACAAGAAAAACTAATGAAAAGAGTTTGAAAACATTGAGTTTTAACGATAATGATAAAATAAAAGGTAAAGTGAATAGTATTATGATTGACTTTTTAGTGTAAAAATATGATTTTTCGTTAAAATGAACAGTACCAAAAAAATTTCGTTAAAGTTCCCTGGCGAAGGGAGGCATGAGTCTTCCATTGTCAACTTTGAAAGGCATTTTACTGTATAGAAGTGTACAGAAAGATTAATTGTCAATATATATTTACCATTCACTATAGATTTTCTAGGTGTTTTTTCCTTTTTATCTTGGCTTGTGCATTTTAGATGCGGGGGGCGCTTCAGTAAAGAGACCAACATGAGGTCAGGCATGACCAAAACTCAAGGGGTTTTATATTTTTGTGAGAGATGAGATCACAGTGGCCCTTCACAAGCTTTTCTCCTTAGATTCAATCAAAAACTTACAAATAGGCAGGTTAAAGCAATCAAATGTTTTGTAAGTGACAAATATTGGTGCCACTAAAAAATCCGAATCAGTTTATTATTCTTACAATGTGAACGTGACATTATTGTGAATGTGGTGTTATCCAGCATATTAATAAAATATGAGATCATTTATTCATCGAACTGAATTAAAACAAATAGTTGATATCAATAAAAATATTATTCATATATAGCTGGAAGAGGTCTCTACCATTCGAGAGGCATTGGAGGAGTGCAGCAGACATGGTTTGTCAAACATTATCATTGAGTCTGATGCCTGTGAAGTTATTAGAATGATGATAAGGAAGGAGATCGGTGTTTATGCGGAGGTGGAAAGCATAGTGCATGACATTTGGGCTGTTACAAATGATGTGGGGAGGACTGTTTCGTTCAAGTTTGTTCGTTAAGAAGGCAACCGAGAGACACATTATGTTGCAGCATTTATTCAAAAAATTGGAGGTTCTTTTAGATGGGATTGTATTGGTCCGGAGTTCCTTTTTAACATTTTGGCTCAAGATGTAAACATTTTAATTTAGTTCCTAAATTATCAACTTAGTGAAAATTAGATTCCTAAACAATTTTTTTTTTCTTCAGAAAAATCAGTCCTTGAGTTATAAAAATATGTCAATTACTTCTCTAATATTATATTCAAAGCTAATATATTCAATTTTTCATTAATTTAAATCACATTACTTGCATATGATACACATTGGAGGGTAGATTAGTAGTTTTTCATAAAGAAATCGTGTATGGAGTCAACTTTGGAGGGTAAATTGGTAGTTTTATGTAAGAAATAGTGTAAGTTAACTTTGGAGGGTAAATTAGATGTTAGATTCACAATTTATATGAAATGTTAAGGGCTTATAGGCGAGGAAATAACGGTATTACACTCTAAAGTGTGTCAAGTGACTTAAGTTAATGAAAAATTGGATGAAATAACTTTGAATATAAGTAGGGATGAAATTAGCAATATTTAATGAATTTAGGGACTTATTTTATCCAAAAAATAATAATTCAGGAACCTAATTTTCACTGAAATGATAGTTTAGGTCCAAATCTAAATCACGGCTAAAATAATTTAAAAAAATTATTTAACTCAAAATTCAACCAAAAATTCTATAAATACCTATGTATTTGTTCAAACATCCACACAAAACTCATTTTTCTCCTACAATTCTTCCAATTTTTCTTTCAACCATTTCTTCTCATTTCCAAAATTTTCAAGATGGCAAAAGAGCCTGATAAAGGTTGTAATTAGACCTTTGACGAAGATATTGCTTTATGTTTGGCATGGATTTCTGTTAGCGAAGATGGTGCCGTCGACATGAATCAAAATAGAAAGGTTTTGTGGGGTAAAATCGTTGATAAGTTCCATGAAAATTCCAACGTTGGTTGAAGGGAAGTTGGTGGTGTTTATGATTAGTGAAAGATTATCAACAAAGTATGCACTTTGTAGAAGGGAAGCTTGGAGAGAGCCACAGTTGACATGCTTACTGGAAGGGGCGCCCCAGAAATTATGAGTTTCTTTGTTGATATTTTATTTGTCATGTAAATAATAGTATTTTGCAACCAATTGCTTTTATGTATTTGTTGCATAGGGTGACAAAGCAATGACAATTTACAAGACAAGAACTACACCAAAAAATCAAGGTTTTAAGTTGTGTCATGCTTGGAACATCCTTAAGGATTGTTTGAGGTGGGGAACTGATGCGGACCAACAATGGGGAAGATTATTTCATAGTGAAGCCCCACCCCTCAATGATGTCAATGAAGGTGTAAATTTTGCCAACAATGAAGGTGTCAAACAAATGACCCCAACTTCTTCTTTTGCAAGGCCCCTGGGTAGAGATAAGCAAAAGGAAGTAAAGAGAAAAAGGAAGTCCCAAGATCTGATAAGTGCACAACTTGCTAGCGGATTGGCAAGAATGAACGAAAACCATATCTCTCGGCAAGAAGAATCGGTCCAAATGCGTTTGACCATGAAGGAAGAAGGGGATAGGGAGTAAGAAAGGTTTGAAATTAATTTGATGATGGAGGACCTCGACAAATATACTAGAGAGGAAGAAATATTTATGTGGTAAGTAAAAAGACATTTTACGAAAAAATGTCACAAGGAGTATATTTCAAGATAATGATTCATCTCAAGACTATCACTCAAGTCCATCACCAAGTCCAGATGGTGGATATCATTATTAAGTTTATGTAGTTTATGAGTTTTCGATTGTATTAAGTTTATGTAGTTTATTAATTGTCATTTGATTTAAGTTTATGTGGTTTATTAAATGTCGTTTGTATTAAGTTTATGTGGTTTATCATGGTTTTCATGTATTGATTTAGTGATTTTT